CTTTACAGATCTAGCATCAATCTTATATCATATATCATGACAAAAAGACCCTCACCACAAAACCTGCACTGAAGCTCTTAAAAATGTGTCACTGAGTGGAAAAATACAGTAACACACCTGTTCACGCCACATGTCTAATAGTGCTCTCTGAAATATGTCTAAGCTTTTCAGCATCTTTGGAGTGAAAATAATGAGATCTTCTAGGTCAGGTGTCGAGTAAATAGCCGGTAGATTTGAGTAAAAAACAGACATTTAAATCAGGTGGAATGTAGTAGGTGCTCGTATCAAAAAATGGGACAGCTCACTCCACTCAGACTTGGCCTGGCTCCCAGGAATGCAGTTAGCTAGCACACAATCACTGCCTATTCACGGTGGCACAGCTGCTGTGGACATATGTTCCCCACCAAAGGAGGAGGACATCAACCAGGCACACCTTGAACAGGTTAGCAGATGAATGGCGTTCAGTCCTTTGACAGTCTGCCCTCGTCTCCCCGTATTTTCCCTTGCTCAACAAATAAGTTCCCCTCCAGTGTGGCTTAAACTTTTCCCATACATTCATCCATGAAGAGCTGAGGGCATTTAACAGTGTAGGGCTGCACCTGACTTCAAGTTCTGTCAGTTAAATCACACTAAGCTGATCAAAGCTTTGACTTTTTGTTCCTCTTCTACAAGTCCAACAACACACCACACATTTATATCAGCTATCTCCACTGACTCCTTTCTTTTTACACAGGCCATGTCCTGGTCTTATGTTTACTGAGACATTAGACATAATAATGTACTTTAAGATAACTAATGAGCTTGAGCTGGCAACACGGGGGATATCCCTCAAAACAGCCTGTTTAAATTCTACTGGTCTACTAGTCAAAGGAAATTCAAGCTAAGCTAAGTTTAGCTACATCTGTAGTCAAGCTACATATGCCGCTATTTGTACTACTGTTACTGCCCATCACTGGCTATTATTACTCTGGTAATGTTAACTAGACTTAGCCAACATAACACTTTTCCTGATCCAAATACTGCTAAACTGTGCCTCACTAACAGATGCCACCTGTCTTCTACGCTTGTTTGCATCCCGATGGTTAGAGCACAGCATCATGACAGTCGCCCTTAACAGGAACATTAGCTCTAGGTAGCGGCGGGTTGCTGGTCTACAGCTTAAGACACAACACGTGGTTGATATTTTAGGCCAACAATAATCAAATATTAACAAGTTATTCAACGGACAAATGACAGGATGACAACAGTCCATCACTCTGTTGACTAAATGAGGACATTCCTGATACAGACAGCAGGTTTTAGAGGACTGCTTCACTTTCTTTTCTTTTTTTTAATTTTGATTTTTTTTTTAAATTTGGGTCCTGGCAAAACAAACAAACAAACAAACAAACAAACAAACAAACAAACAAACAAACAAACAAACAAACAAACAAACAAACAAACAAACAAGACAAAAAAAACACTGATGAAAGACAAAAATAAGCTTGGGCCTCTAACCTCTTGAGTGATAATAAATGAAAGAATCAAAGAAACAATGTCACACACAGCTCTGTCGATGACTGTCTGTGTCTGATGAAGAAGAGTATCCAAAGGACACTGATTTTACCCCTGGACCACTTAGTACAGGATTTAAAGAAGTTTCAGTATAAGATTTAATCACCAACTCAGTTTGTTTTAGAAGAAGGACACTTCTGCTCACAGGTCTGTTCAGGCTAAACATTGTGCACCATAAATACAAAGGCCAGTTTTGGATGTGGTTCACATAGTTTGCTATCTGCCATGCTATTACTATTGCACTTCTCAGTGTACAGCAATGCAGCGAAAAATCAAAAGCAATAGACAAAAAAATATTTTCTTCATAAATTACAAGCAGACTTGAGGTTTTTATTAAATGCAAATGAACTTCATTTTAAAGGAAAAACAGCAATAACTTCTGTAAATAAAATTCACATTCAGTGACAAAGGCCCGCCATGGAGGGCGTTTCCGAAGGACAGCCAGCCTAAAGAAACTGTAATAGGAAACATTAATAGTAAAAGCGCATACAAAGACCTTTTTCACAGCCCTCAGCAAATGACCAAATGTGAGGGGAAAAGATTACATTTATTCATAGCTGTCTTTCATCAAGAAGCTTAGAACCCAAACTTCAACTGTAACCCCAAATTATATGCATATTGAGCTGACCTCTTTCACCCTTTTTCTTAAAGCCATGGACGAGGTGTGATATGCAAAAACCCACAGATCCTTCCGCTCATCATTTAGACGATTTCAGCACTTTTGGTTTTCCAGCCGTGCAAGGGTGATCACGTTCGTCACTAATAGATAAAGAAGAGGCTACTCCATTAGCATGGAGGTCAAACGTGAAATGTACAGTAAGAACTCCTGAACCTTGCTGTCACTGCAGTAGGAGAGAAAAAAAAAACAATCAGATTTAACTCATGCAATTCAAAGTCAAACACTCTGAATCTTGAGACAGAGAGAGAAGTAGATAACTGCAATCCATTCTCACATTATCCATTGTTAACACTCATGCTTTTGTCACCCAGCTCTGCAGCTGTGACCTATTAGCTTTAGTGAAGTGCTGGGAGGCCACGGAGCCATGCGGAGGTTGTTCACCCATCCAACAGGGCCATTTACAGGAGAGAGACCCTGGAGTGGAGCCGCTGCAGCTCTCTAATGACTCTATCAGCTACACTGATGGGAGCAAATGGCACCTAGAGATTTCAACGTGTTCCCTGAGCATGCATTACATTTGCTCTCTTTATTTTCGTTATTGCATTGTAATGGCGACGCATAACTATGCATGTACGGACATTGTAAAACATTTCAAATTGCACCATAGCAATATAAGCCCTTGTTTTAGAAATATCCCCACTCCCCTAAAAATAATAAAGTATTATGCCACTGCCAGCTCAATTTGCCAACATATCTTTAAATGATCTTATAACTCTTTAACCCAAACACAACCTCTGGATAATTATTGTGATTTCCAGGGGAAGCTTGGTTGATCTTACACCTCAATCCAACAATTACAGGAAACTTTGTGTAAGATAAAAACAGAATATGGGCTTCCTTTTTGTGCGAGATGGTGCGAAGTCACAGGAGTATTCATTAAGGCCTTTGTGTCCTGTTTGAAATAGTGCTGTTAAAGGCTTTAGCTGTGGGCATCTCTCTAGAAGAGATATAATGATCCTCCAATTAGAGACAGAATCATGAGACCTGTTTATTAGTCCTAATTCATCTCTGCATTGTGCTGAGCATATCAAATACCACAGAGGCGGAAAAAAATCAACAATTTGCCGACCATAATTACAGATCTATTAATAGTTTCACAACAATGACAAGCAAACCATTCACATCATTTTCCATGGTCAAGAACAATACCACAGCACTGTCAATGTATCCATTAAAGCCCGCATTTATACCAGCTCAGTGACATCTCGCATTTCAAAGACGACTCTGAGCCTCTTCAGATAAATTACACTTTTTCATTAACCCGAATGCTTTTGGTATTATTAATTCTAAATGGATTTTCAGACACCTCTCTACATTTGTAGCTTATCATACAATAGCAGGCTTCTGTGGCTGTAAAGGTATTTTCCATTAAGAACATGAAGATGAAAAAAGAACTGCAATGCATTGTTGAGGTTTCTCTTTCAGGTGTCTAAAGGTAAAAAGAAAAAATAGACAAAGCACAATGGCAAATGGAAGTCCTGACACCTGACTGCAAATGCAAGAGTGGATACTTTCAGACACTAAAACATGGAGACTGAAACTTTGCAGATGACCTTACTCTCTTTGACTGTTCAGCTTTTCCATTAAATGTAAAAAATAACACTTGAAAACAATGTGTAAATAAATTTTCTAATAAAAAACAGGCCATAGAACTGATAAAAGTCATAGACATAGTAACACCAGCACACCTAGATCTAAGTAAATAGTACACATGGACATGTAGTAAGCCATAATTAACCATTTAGTTTGGTCCATATAACCTACTGCATTGGCCTAGCGTGGTGTGAACTGGTCCACACATTCTATATTTCATTTCATAAGTGGACCAACCATCCATCTATCTATCTATCTATAAGATCTATCTAAAAGATAGACTAGATGACTTAAGGTGGAGTCACTGGCGTCTCTACATTCATTTTGTCTAAGTGACAGTTTTTTGTGGACGTTGTGTTTATCAGCTGTCTAACTTGGCTAACAGGCTTGCAGTGAGTGAGACCAAGTACATATTACAAAGTTGACCCAGCAATTGTACATTAGTTGGAGAGATGGAAATAACTGTCCAAAAACATCTAAAATGGCAACATGAGGCAGAAATTTATATTGAAAATAAATATCTATATATGTTATTGCTATGTTATTAGAGTTATCCCTACAATAGAAATATTACTAATATAACATACATGGAATGATTAAATGTTTTATATAGAAACGATTTACTATAACTGTCTTGTGTGTGGGCGTATAGCTATTGCTCTACCTATCAGCTTAATGTTTATTTATGAAAATCCATAGTTAAAATTATTCTTGAGTATGCGGGAACATAACTAAAACTCTGAGGTTTGTTACAAACCAAACCGTTTGAAAATCGGTTTAAAATTAAGCAATCTGTGGTTATTTTAATGCTACATGCACCCTAGACTGTAATGTTATGAGTGGGCGAACGTCCAGTAGCAAAATGGCCGCCATGTGCGGACGTCGGTCTCCATTGGCTAACAGCGTGCGTAATCCATCTAGCGTTTATATAAATATCTATGGGACCAACAAGGACAGAACGGTTTATCGTTTTCTGATCGAAATTGTGATTTCAGACAGCATGATCATGTGATAGCCGAAGCTGCTTTTTTTCTGCGCACCTGACTGACTCAGGATCTGCTGTGTCAACTCTTCTGAATATCCACGCCGTCTTCCCACCGTCCTTCCAAACTCACCAATCAGAAGCGGCATATGCTACTCACGGACAGGTCACATTGACCAATCAGTGTTCCTGCTCTCAGTAATTTGAAACATGAGCGTTCTTTTCAAACGGCTTTTGCGCAACCACAAGCGGAGTTAGGTTATTTAATCCACAAGAAAAGTGGCACGGCGGTCATCTGGGTGGTCTTTTGGGTTTGAGGCTGCAGACGTGCACCAGAAACAGGTAGGCTACTGTGCAAAACATGACGCGCTAAAGTTGCTACATCGAGCGGAAACACAACATACCTTTACCGACACTTGGAAAAACCACTACAGGCACTTGCATAACGGAGAAGTCCGGTGAAAAGTCTAGTAAACATGAGTCTCAGGTCCATTGTTGCAAACAGACTACAATTACAATATCTTTTGCCAGTGAAAGCACTTACGACAAGAGCAGCTGAAGACACCGGGAGATAACCACAGCCATGATGACACAATGGGGGAGAGTGGGGTGAGTTGTGCCAGTTTTAACTTTGCGTCTTTAAAGCAAGGGGATGACAGTAATACCTCCGACTAAGATATGTACATATAGTTTAGGATGTGGTGTATCCTTGGGAACAATCACTTTGGATCTTAAATAAACTGTTTGAGAAATTAACTTTAGAAAAATAAGTGGTCTTGTGGAGAGAATACATTGGGGCAAATTGTGCCATAGGTTATTGAAGTAAACTACATAATTTTAATCTTACAAACAGTAATGCGGCATAAAAGTGAGACAAATTCAATACAAAATTACTTATTTAAAGATTTTACAACATCAAAGCCCACTTCTCTATAGAGCCACATGAGCACATTTAGAACATAACCAGCTGCAATTCTCTAAACCAAGCTACGAATTAACAATGCTGCAGGGAAATCTGAATTTATGCTCCCTTCTGGTTGAACCACCAAGTCTCTGTGGTGTGGGTAGTTTCTGGAGCATATCACCTTTAGGGAGGACTCTATTTTCTTTAAATTTGAAAACTGGCTTTCCATCCACAATTCTTACCTTTAGTTTTCATTCGTATGTCAAAGCAATAGATTTTTATGTTTTGATTTGTAAATGTTACTGTTCACATTGTGTATATAGACGGGTTTCTTGTGTACTAACAATAGACGGGTTTCTGTGCAACATCATCGCAGGTATGCGCGCGCAGCCAGGGGTAGAAAGTGAGACATTTCTTATCTGTTCACTATCGGAGTCAATGGAGAAAGAAAATGACAAGGAGCTGTTGTGCCGAAAACTGCACGAATCGGCAAAACAAACAATCGGCAAACATTACGACCCTGCTCCTGATATTAGAAACATCGAAAACAATGTCACAACCTGGTAAATTGAGTGAAATTTATGGAGATTTCAGCAAGTGTTTTTCTGATTTTGATGCAGTGAAAGACAAAGCGATTTTTCAATGAAATTAAATTTATTGCAATTGTGTCAGGGAGAACTTGCAAACAATACAGCATCTTCATTGATATCAGTTCACTCCGAGGCAGGCTTTTGCCTCCTGGTTGTGTGTGCACCTAGTATTGTTTGTACACAAGAAACCCATCTATACTATAGACAGTCTATACTACCCGTATATTCTCTGTTGACTCCGCTAGTAAACAAATAAGAAATTTCTGTCCGAAAATTGCAATTCGATCTTTTCCTAAAATCGTTCAGCTGTTTAAGTTCATTAAGTTGTCAAACTTGAACAATGGAAGAAGGCTGGAATCTGTTAACCTAAAATGACATTATTTTTCAGATGGCCTTTATTCTCGTTTGACTCCAACTCAAACTGAACTTCTGGCTGATGGTCTAAAAAATATATCAGCTCTCATGAGTCAAACAAGCACTGAAGAAAGCAAAAGAAACGAAACACTCATGGAAGACCTGCCACACCAACATTGCTCATTACTCAGGTATGTAGATTATAAATTGCTTTTTCACTTATTTTTTGACTTTGGGGTATTAGAAAGGCAATATCACATTGTTGTGAATGGCAGCGTATGCTTTGCTTAAAGTTTAGTGAATTATTAGAAGCAACCATGTGATAAGATATTGGCCAAATTAAAATGCATCGATTTACAGTCTAAATATTTTACAGTCAGCGACCAGAAAGCATACCCCTTGTGCCTTCTAATGCCACACAGCGCAGGAGCTCGGTCGTAAATTCTGACTTGGTAAAAGAGATTTTGTTGAGACTTTGTCAGAGAGGTGTTGATTCACCTTTATGGCTCATGATGCTTTATTGGGTGATTATGTTTTCACTGCATGAGGTGACACTACCTCACCATTAAGCCCTTCACAATAGCACAGCTAGTCCTTTAGTGTGGGGAAAGAAACCGTTTTAAAAACTGTTCAGAGAAAGTCCAATCTGGAGGGTATAGGGAGTGGCAATTAATGCTGTATTTTCTGTTTGGAAATCCTCAAATAGAAATAAAGGCAGCATTAATCAAGTTCAATGGACTGGTTTAACTATAGAATTACAGTACGATAGTATGTTACTATTTTACTGATAGAATCCATTATACTTTTAATAAGCAATATTTAAGTTTAAATACTGTGGGATTTCAGAAGTGGCAGACTGAGTGGGCAGTAGAAATGTTCAGTGACCTGCTGCAGCAGCAGGTGAGGAAAAAACTGTCTGTCAGAACATGAAGACAGTCCCTCCTGATTGGTCAGAGACAATATATTGACATGCTCATGGGCATTCAGTGCTACGGTTTTACTGAGTCTCATCTATTCTCTCATCCAAGCATAGCTATTTTCATTTAGCTTTTAAAAGTTTTTTCCCTCGTGTGTTACTGTCCACTCATGATGGACATGTTTGGAGTGTTATGTGACTCTTATCTGTTTTCTTTTACACTCTGTGGATTTGTAATAATGGATACTTTAAAATGTTTGGATGGTGGATTTAAGAAAGGTAGATGAAAATACAGCTACACTTAGTCTGTGCATTACAGTTTTATATTTGGTATGGATAATACTGTGACCACCCGGGACAATATTCTTTATGTTTACAGTGTTTGGGATTATCTAAGCAAAGAGGCTGCTGTCTTCATCCACTCCTCCTGGCTGGAGTATATCAGCAAGCTGCTCTGATCTCTGATAAGATGTGACAAGTCAACCCCAAGTTGAGGTAAGAGTCAGACAAAATATGTTCATATTTATGAACCTTAGAAAGCAACAAAGTCAGTGTAGTAGATTTGATACTTTGTTCTGTACAGCTTTCAAACCCCAACCCATCTGTCGAGCACATCAAATGGTCCTATAATACAAGAACAAACTAACATCAGTAAAAGCAGGGACAGTTTCTAGAGAAAAAGCTGTGGGGATTGAACTGGCACATCAGTTTCACAAAGAGCTAGCTCCCTCCTGAACTCCATCATACTACCAGCCAGAATGAGGCCACTGTGTTGGCATAACATAAAGAATGCAGGGACCTCCTACTAGTTAAGTTACATCTGGCCCAGCTAGTGCCACAATGCAATGCATTATCATCTGACAATGTTATGTGAACTACATATCTTTGAAGTACACTGTGAGAAAGTTGTAAAATCAAATAGCACAGCATCATAAGCTACTGTGCAGTGTTTGGAAAAACTGACAAGTCTTCAAACTTCACTGAAGTCAGGCAGAAACCTATGTAAACAAGGTTGTGCACACTTCAGGTGACGAGGCCAAACACTGACTTATAGGGTCACACCTGTGCTTGTTGGACATAACACTGGTCAAGTTAATCAGACTAAGCCAACATAAAACTTAATCGACATTTTCTTAATCAAAATACTACCAAGTCATCTGGGCTCGTTTACATGAGGATGGTAGAGCATCTGAGTCGCTATCAACTGGAGCTACAGCACCAGCTTCTGGTGAATTGGTGCATTACAGTTTAAGAACAATGTATGACCGGCGTTTTAGGCCTACTATAATAATAAAAATGTTGATAACTCATTTATTCAACTTCTAAACCAAATATTTGTGATGTTAATGCACATGACAGCAGTTAGTAGTTTAGTTGACTAAACCGTGACAGCCTGTGTTTAATTAAAAATAAATAATTTTACAGGCTTTAAAACAAATGGAAGTAAATGACTATGAAACAGGAGTACAAATGTGGCAATTTGAGGTGTTTTGATTAAAAAAAAAATACAAAACCATTTTGATTTGATTTATTTTTCTTACATAAACCTTTTTTCCGTTCTTCATCTGAAAAAAGAGACAAAAAGTCAGAAATAGACATCTGCTTACAAAATGCACAGGTAGGCCTAAGAAACCCCTCAGTGCTTTTAGGATTAAATCTATCAAGCACTGATAATAAAGCATAAACAAAAATCGGTTTTGTGTGCAGTAGAATACTTCTTTAAAGTACCAGCATACACGAGAGAAGGAATTAATGTAAAAGCTTTTAAAAAACAAAAAAGAAGATTGAAATGTGAGGGAGACAGTTCTTAATTAATGAACTTCTGAGACGTTGACAATAAAAGAGCTGCTAAAGAGATAGGAAGTTGGTGATTAGGAAACTGGAATACAAAAGAACAAATCTCAGGTGTGCTGATGTTAAATCTGTCGAATAATAGAGAGGTGTGAACATTCTAGCTGGAGGGACTTTTCCTTTTGTTAACGTGTTTATTTTTTTCTTCATCAGATAAGACAGCTGAAGAAAGACAAGAAATGTTGGGAGTACAGAGGGCAGAAAGTGATTGTGGTCTGGAGTCGAACCAGCTACCATTGTAGCGAGTACTATAGCCTTTGCACATGGCATGTTTCTCGATCAGTGGGTCAACAGTGGCCCAGCTGGAGAGACAATTCCAACAGATTTTTAGAATAGGGACTAGTTTTAAACATGTTCGCTCATACATTATTACCAAAATATACAGAATTTGCCCAAGCAGAAACTCCTTGTTGACTATTTTTGTTTTAAAAAGTTTAAAAAATTCTCCTCATTCATAAAAGTTGATCTTTAATAAACCTCATCATACCTCCTTACCTTTTTCTGCAAGTCTGAGGAAAGTGTGTCAAGCACTTCCAACCATGTGGCCTGTAAAAATATTATAGACTTTGTTTCAGCAGGAACAGTCAGGGGAACAGCATCTTTGTTCTGTAGTTGTTAGTTTTTCCCGGCATTTTCCCTGCTGTGCAGACAGTTCTCTGTTTTATTACATACATGAGACAGGTGAAATATCACCTCCTAGATAGTGGTTTGAACTTTATTTTACAAAGCTTCTTTTACTCAGTGTAGTGGTGGCATTTATATGTTATCAAAGCATGTTTTAACTATAAAAGTTAATCATTTATAGGTAGGTTTGATAATTCTCACTCACAATGTGGCTGCTATAAATGTGTCGGTGAGGCTAAATAAGGATAAACAAACGTTGATAAAGAGAAAACGTTGTGTTCAGCAGGCGTCTAAATGAGACAGACTGAGGCTCTGCTGTCTGTTGGGACGGGGCAGCTCTACTTTGGACAAATTAATCTCCAGTGAAGATGACTTAGATCAACTTTGAAAAACACTAAGATGAAAACCCATAAAATGATTACGAACGGCGGCCAGAATGACAAGTATTATCAACAAAAATTAATCAGGTGCATCTTTTCATGAACTCAATTAATAATGTGCAACAACGGGGTCTTTTTTCCCTGGAATGAAAATTAATTAGCAGGGGAAGGTCACTCGGAGATGCTGACATCACTCATCAGGCCGCTGTGGCAGTTCTAATTATTTGTCTTCCAGGCTTGGCTGATCAAAAATTATTGCCATACCTGAGCAACATTTAGAAAAAAAGCTTTGTTTAAAGCGCTTTTAATTAGACCTGCTATTTGATTAATGCCGTGTAAGCGCTCAGGATCGGCCCTCTTATCAGCATTTCTGACAAGTTTGCGGGGTATTGTTGTGTGAAAGACATTTTACTGACACTAACCGACTGTTTAGAATCTAATTCGTTCACTTTAGTTGCAATTAAAAAGCTATTTACTGCCAGAGCACTTGTTGATATTGATATAGATGTTGTAAACTTTGACAAAGCACTCTGTTTTGATACTTATACTTGTGGCATTAGATGAATATGAGTTCATAAATGTGCATTATGAAGATTAGACCTAATAATGTGAGTGTTTTTTTTTTTTTTTTTTTAACTAACCCAGAGTTGTTGCATCATCCAGGTTGCACAGCGCACATCCCAAAGCAAATGCAACACCCAAGGTCCCACAGTTTATTGCGCTTTTGTCAGCTATAATTAATAAGAAAAGACAAAGGTCACAGCAAGCCAACATGATTACCCAACGAAAAAAGCCTGATAACATATCTAGCCTCTGCTGGGCCTGCAGAAGGATGACTTGTCACATTGCGGTGTCATGATGTAGGCTTTCCCAAGCTCCTGTGATTATTCCTCGGCGTTATTATGTTGACTCGTTGCCTGAACTATCCTCAACCCCTACTACATCAATTCACATTACCTGCAAATTAGCAAAGTTCTACTTTCAAGCTCACAGTACATTTGATCCAAATAGAGTCTAAATGCCATTTCTGTTCCTATTAACCTACGGATCGGTGTGGCAGATATTTTCATGAGGTTGCTGGGGAAAAAACACAAGGCTAATGGCTTGGTTGTGACAGCGCTATTCATGATGATTTATGATTCTGTGTTTAAGTTGATTACTCCACTGCTGACTCGGAATACTATTTCAATTAGTGCACTGAAGGTCACTCCACGAAATCCCTCCATAATCTATTCCTATTAACACTAATGCGCCGAGTATCCATATCTGTTCACCCTTGTTGATTCAAATCATCCCCACTCCTAACGGCTGGCTTGTTTACCAGTTTACTGGTTCGGACGTATCCTAGATGGTAATTTTCTCTCCTGCGTGTATCATTAATGTCTTCAGTCTTGACACATGGCTAGGAGGGACATCTCAATAGAGCTTGGTTGCATTTTTATTGCTTTTATTATTTCTAATTTGTTTTACAGATCAAGTGATATTTATGCTGAATGAAATTGATCCTGAAAGCCCTATAGGCAAACGTTGTAATATTGTGAGGTGAGAAAGCAACAACCTCCTATTACTTGTCATCAGGAGAACCAAAATAGCCTCGGCGTGATCAAAATTTTAGAGGTCTAAATTAATTTTACATCACTTTCATTCATACTCCCACTCACCCATGCAGAGGAGGAAATTAGCTACCTGTATTTAATCTAATATGTTCCCACTGTAAGCGCTGGTGGACATGATAGACTTAATCAGTTCACTCTGAATCAAACAGCTCGCCAGACAGTGCTTAGCCAGGGACAATGTATTAAGTTTCAAAGACAGGATCTGAAGGCCTACTTTATTTTACAGGATGAATTACTCTCACAATACAAGGAACTAACAGTATGATTTACAGTTGTTTAAATTACAACGGAGGCGTCGTGTGAGAAAGAAAGTGTGTAACAAATTTACTTCTTAGAGATCATTTCATTTTCATTACGAGCTAACAGCACAGCCATCTGAGACCACATCAGAGATCAAAGTTCAAATAGCAGGGTGAAAACTCCTCTCCACATCATCATTTTTGGAAGGCTCTGGTTTGAAAATACACTTACAGGTCTGCTTTCTCTCATCTCATGCCATTTGCAGGCCCCTTAATTAAAGCATATTGAAATTGGACTGCACGTGTTTTATTATCAACACCTGAGGGCAGCTGTGGCTCAGTGGTCGAGTGGGTTGTTTCTCAATCAGAGGGTCGGTGGTTCAGTTCCTGCTCCTGGAGTCGCATACTATGTTGTCCTTGGGCAAAACACTGAACCCCAAATTACTCACAGAGTCAAAGTCAGCGGTGTGTAAATGAGTATGAACAGGATTAGTCAATACGAATGGTCCCCCACTTGAGCCTCCATCATCGGCGTGTCAGTGTGGTCTAGATGAGTGTGTGTGACGAGTTGTGTGTGAGCACCTTTTACAGATTAATTACCATTTGGCAAAAAATGGATGCAAAATGTCACAGTAAAGGAAGCTAGTTTACACCTAGACTGTTAAAAACTTGGAAATGGTCTGAAGAAGCATGATGAAATCTGATGGTTGCAGACCCATTCCTGTGAAGATAAAAGGCTCACCTCAAACTGACAAAAACAACTTTAGTTTCTTCTCCGTGGTGGTTATATTTTTTAACACCAATGGTTGCTGCTTGGATTTACACTCTTAATATTGAGCCCCCTTAGAGGCCTGGAGAACTTCACATTAATGTCTGGATTGGTAGTTTTCCATCATGTGCTTTGTTTTTTTGAGTAAACATTATTTGTTGATATATTTAATACGCCTTTACTTTTGAACTCACTGACATATACACCCACCTTTTTTTTGAATGGAAAGAACATCAAGTCTCTTCAGTAGTAGAATTGACCTTTTATATTCATTGTAACAGTCTATTGGTTTAAGTAACATATAAAACAAGATAAAACATATGACTTTACTATAAATGTGTCCTTTTTCAAATGCAGAAAGTGACGTGTCTGTTGTCTTTTATCGACACTTTAAAATACTTCTTTACAGTCATGTATGGAGTGTGCTGAGCTAACATTGCATGCACACATTTAATGCAACCCTTTTTTTCCTGCCATATCATAAATAACTATAGTGATAAAGATTAGGGCCCGACCGATATGGATTTTTTGATTATTAGGGGGAAAAAAAATCTGATTACCAATTAATTGGTCAATTTTTTAAAATCTGTTATGAAGTTATAAAAAATACGTAGATATCTACAGTAGATATGTACAGTATACTATATACTGTAAGCTACTGCTCTTCACGCTGACAGGAAGACCGATTGATCAAACTCGGACCAGAAAAGCGTTTGCAACTACTTTTCAAATGGCGAAACATTTTGGAAGTGAAACCGAATCTTATTCTCCAAATTTTATTTCTAAAAATATCGGCGAAAATCGGAAAGTTTTGGCCGATTACCAATTAGTCTCAAAGGGGCTAAAATTGGCTGATTTAATTGGCTCGCCGATAAATCGGTTGGGCCCTAATAAAGATACTATACTGATAATATCGTGTATGCCTAGCTTTTGCAGCCAATTCTATGAGCAGCAGATTTTTTTCATCTCCACTTCATGTCCATAGTTTTACTCTTTTTTTTCTCGTTTGATTCAACCTTTCTGAATTTCCATGCTGCTTTCCCCCATTTGAAACAGTTTGGGCTATTGTAGTACATTTGCACTCGTTGGCCACCATACTAATATCAACCAGTCAAACTTTGAAGTTTCTAGTTGTCTAGATCAGCAACTCGGTATTTCATAAGATTTAAAAAAAGCAGACAAAAGGCAACAGTCCAAAAGCTTGAAGTTTATATTTCAACTTTAACACTTCTTATCAGCCCCGACAGGCCTCTGAGGCCCGAGGACAGGAAACATCGTTTTTTGAGAGAAGGGTAAAAGTGCTGACATTGTCACCAGTTGATGGGACTCTATCCAAGGGATAGGTGAAAACACTTGGGCACAGCGACATCAATTTTCAAGATGATTTAACTCCATGCTTCTGTGTTGGAGGAAAGAAACTTCAGACCCCTGATTTACCTCCGATGACAGCCACGCGGCCCCCGAAACAATGTTTCCAAGGCTACTAGCGAATGACGAGTGGTCACGTCTGTACAGCCGTCCCCATTGGTTTGATTTATGTGACCGGGATCCAATAAAAATGGCAATCAAATCAACCCAGCCACTTTACAGGTAGAGGGCTGTCTGATTGAGTTGTCGAAGGCATGGCTGAGGCTCAGAATGATTATGCTTGGAAACGGAGAGGGGTCCATCTCTCCGCACCCAACAAGGACACCATACATCTCCCCATGCAG